TGTTTAACCCTGTTGCTCTTTGAAAGACATTAAACTGAATATTAAAACAATGAATGATGACAAATTAGATTAACTCTTCTATAAGGAAAGAAGGATAAAAAAAGTACTAGGATGAATTAATATGGAAAAGAGCATAAGAGATTTTTACTTTTAGCCATAATTCTAAACCAAGCACTTAAGGCTGTCCTCCAAGCCTATAGTTCCCCAGATTTCATGATATACTTACACCAAAACAAACAAACAAACAAACAAACAAACAAAATTAAAAAGAAAAAAACAAAACATTTTATGTACTGGGCTTTGAAAGCACTCTAAAAGAGTATGACTGCAAGACCCCTTGCCAATGAAATGAGAATATTTAAGTTTTTGGCTTAGAGCTGAACGACATACATCGTTGGAAAGGTCTCATCCTGGAGAGTAATATATGAGAAGATGAGGTTTTAACATGACCCCTGTTTTGAAATAATGCCCTTTGAACCTTGACCCAAGGGCATATTTGAAGGCTTATACCTCAGCAACAAAAGGGGCTACAGACATGGGAATAACTGTTTTAGAGAGGTCTTGGAACAAAGTATCATGTGAGGGTAGTCAGTTCACCAAAACAACAGGGGGAGCTGCTATATATGGTTAAAATACATTTTAACAAATGTATCAATTATTTTTTAAATATCTGATAACATAAATGTGTTAACCATCCAATTAAACTCCCCTGTGTACCCTCAATTAAATATCTATTACTTCTTAGGTAAGGGAAACACTGAGATTTATCTAAAAGACTACAGTTCCTCAGAGTCAAGTCATACAGCTTGATACTGAATGGCGCCATAATTGTAGTCTTTTCCGTTTCCAAAAAAAGGTTGTAACTAGGATTATAAAAGGCTTACAAAAGATATAGTCACTGAATATGTCACGGATCTCGTGTGGCCGAAGTATTTATTGCATAGTACATATATGATCCATGTTAAAATAAAGTACATATATCAGTTCATTTCGGATATCTTTACTGTTATTCTAGAAACGGGAATTTTGATATTTATGTCTGGCGTTGTGCATAGAGGGAACATAATTAGGGTTGTAAAAAATTTATATCTACCCACTATTTCAAATATTTACTAAAGCCGAATGGGTTTTGTAAAATAATCTAGACTATATATATTGTAAAAAAAAGTGGTCAAATCAAACCTGTTTTAAAAGATAGTATTAATCCGTCAGGATTATTTTGTTAAATAAAATCATATAAATCACACAAACTGTACAGTATTGTCTTTATGTATTGATACATTTTATAGTTTATAATGTTGCTAATATGCATCAATCTGTTCCAATCATTTTATTAAATTTGGTTGTAATGAAAGACATCCATAAAAATGTAACAGAAATCATTATTTATTGTATGGGAGTTTAGTTTGATGTCTAGGGTCTGATGTAACCCATTTTAAGAGCCGCGAACCGAACGTCCACTTCCTTCTGGTTCGTTGTTGATAGCGTCCATAGCAACCACGATAGCAACAGTAGAAAACGTAATAGTTCAACGTTTCTCTATCGAGACCTGAAAGAATCTTCGTCGAAACAAACAAACTAAAGATCATAAACATAAACCGAACAAAGATTATGAAGATACAATGTACATTTGTCGCCAGAAAGGTTATCAAAACGACACTTAAGCCTCAAACTATCTTAAAATATTGCATTTTCCACCAAAAATAGAAGGGATGTCTGCCATGTTTTTTTTTTCGCCAGGGGAAAACTGGGCAGTCATGTGACCTGAGGTATGCCTATACAAAAGAATAGACAAAAGGAAACGTAGACACGTCACAATTTTAGAGCCCTTATTGTGAAACTACTACGTTTTGCGCTGTGGACCAACGTAGGTATTACACCTTTTGATATGAGACTTGGTTGTTACAGGTCTGTCTAAAACATCAGTCAGACAACTGCAGCTGATGCAGAACGCTGCTGCAAGAGTCCTCACCAAGACCAAGAAAATGGATCACATCAGTCCAGATCTGAGGTCTTTACACTGGCTCCCAGTCTGTCAGAGAATAGATTTTAAAATACTGCTGCTGGTTTATAAAGTGCTGAATGGTTTCGGACCAAAATACATTAGTGACCTCCTGATTAACTACAAACCATCCAGACCGCTCAGGTCGTCTGGGACAGGTCTGCTCTCTGTCCCCAGAGTCAGAACCAAACACGGAGAAGCATGTTCAGTTTCTATGCTCCTTATATCTGGAACAAACTCCCAGGAAACTGCAGGTCTGCTGAAACTCACAGCTCTCTTAAACCGAGGTTGAAGACACACCTCTGCCTTTCAATAAACAGCTTTAATGAAATTTTAAAATGTAAATACGCACTATAAGTCTTATACTTATTACATAACTCTTTTTATATTTTTGTTTTATTTTGGTCAATTAATTTTATTTGAATGAGTTTGGTTTTATTTTAACATACAGTAGTTTAATGATTTTTAAAAAATGTTTATTTTCTTTCCTCTGTCATGATGCTTTTGATGTATTGTGTAATGCACTTTGAATTGCCTTGTTGTTGAAATAAATAAACTTTACTTGCCTTGCCTTATGCTGCTATTGGCTTAGACTACTGGGGGAACTGGCACCTTGAGCTCCTCTCTCTCTCTCTCTCTCTCTCTCTCTCTCTCTCTCTCTCTCTCTCTCTCTCTCTCTCTCTCTCTCTCTCTGTGCATTCACATCATATTACTGCATGTATCTATCTGTAAATCTCAGTCACTAATCATATCTTTTTTACTGTGAGCTCCTGAGCTCTCTTAGGTTTCCTCGGAATCGTCATGAGCCTGGATTTGCCCAAGATTTCTGTGTCTCAAAAGGACATTTTTTCTTGCCACTGTAACTTTTGTTTAATGTTGCTAAAGTGCTACACTCATGATGGATGTAGCCGGGTCTTTGTAATATAGCAATAAATAAGGTCTTTCACCTGCTTTTAAAGTGTCTCGACTTAACATACACTTGTTATAAATTGATGGTATACAAATAAAGATTGATTGATTGATTGATTGATTGATTGATTGGTTGATTGATTGATTGATTGATTGATTGATTGATTGATTGACTGATTTTCTCCACGTATGATTCTCTTTATGTTGTCTTGGTGATGTCTTAGAGTTTCACAACTCTGTCAGTGATGGTTGCACGGCTCGTGATCGTGTACCTTGGCTCGAGTATAAAATCCCTTAAGCCACGACCCTGTGAGGTGTTGATTAGAGGCCAACAGGAGAAGAGGGCACTATGCTTCAACCAGATCATAACCATGTTACCAATAACTTAACAGTTTGGATTTTTAGAGTTTCTATTATCATCATTTAATTTGCATGCGGTTGCTTGGTAAATCTATCTCTTACACTGCTTTAGTCGTTATTCTCCATCTGCTGCAAGTGGATTTTACAGAAGAGATGGTGTTGGCACCAGTGTTCATTGGGTTAAATATGGAAGTTTGACTCCCAAAGCTAAGAAAATCTTCAATGTGTTAATTATTCAAATAAAAAAAATGTCTCCATCATCTCTTCACACATCTGCTGGTGGTAAAGAATAGGAGATAATACCAAGTAACACGGGTTAGAACCAGGGTGTATATCTGTGAACAGTGGTGAGTGTTAATAAAGGGCTCTCACAGCTGTGACCTTGGCCTTGTCTTGCCTCTCTGTAGACGACAGCTGCGGCTCTGTATTGTCCCTCTTGAAGTGTATTTCACACCCTATCACTTGACAGACTATTGTTGAACTCAAGAACTCAAGATATTTGATGTCGCATGAATCCTGTTTGCCTGCTCGCCTACTGTATTAGCCTGTGATATGACGTGTGTCATTAATATGCCATCATTAGGAAGCATTATGTTCATTTATGCAACAAATACAACTGCGAAAAGAAAGATCCATCATGTGTACTATTGTGGAGCAGAAAGTAGTTCAGACCATGAGTTCAGGTTTTGACATTTGAGTTTATAATCGAGCTTTGCAGCTGGATGGTTTTTCTACACTCTTTGCTATCATAATATAATTGTGTAGTATGATTCATGATTCAACGTACTGAAGCAGATGAGAAGAACTCAATGGACTGCCGCCTGCCCCTGCTCCCCTGCTCCTCCCCCCCCGCCATCCCCTCTCTTTCTCTGTCATGCCCCATCTGCTGTAATGCTGTTGTTCACAAGGTTAGCGCAACAAATAGCAACACAAGGCACTACCCAATTTGGAGAAAGCTTTTTGTGATAGGAAACCTGGATGTCATCTCCCTGATATTCATTCCCCATATTTGGCTGACAAACAACCTTTATTAATGGAGGGCAGCCTGGTGTCGCCCACTGGATCCATCATTTCACTCCAGAAAGGTTGACGGTCAAAGGTAAGGAAAAAAAATCATCATGAGTCTGTTTGAAACTTTATTTGTCTTTCTTACACTAAGATGTAATATGAAATTTGGTTTGCTCTCCTGCCAAATCATCATAAAAAGCACACAGATCTGATTTCCATTGGAGCGACACACCTCAGGTAAAATTCAAAGCTTCATTTAATGTTTTTTCATTTTTTATAACTTTTGGACTATAACAACAGCTAACCCAGTTTGAATTCAAAGCAGCATGTTTTTCTATTTATACATGCATGTGAACAACTAATACATGTGCTTTGTTTTATACCATTTGGGGGACATTATTGCTGCATTAAAAAAACATCGACTGCCTGAAACATCCAATATGTCCTTCATTTATAGGAGCCCTGCTGTCCTCTATAACTGTATTACTGGAGACCATTCCTTTAGAGGGTTTTATTGATGTATTACTGCACTTGTTCAACAGGCAATAACTTGAAGATTGTCCTTTTTTTACAAGGATTCATAAAACTAAGTACATCATCCTGATTTACTTCATCTTTTCTTCAACTAAATTTAATTTTACCAAACCTCGTCGTTGTGTGAGCTTTCCTCGAGTCAAAGACAATCTGTAAAAGTCATTTTATTCTGACTACAGGTTGAAACATGGGTGATGCTGTCATGGCTGAGTTTGGGCCCGCTGCTCCTTTTCTTCGCAAGTCGGATAAGGAGCGTCTAGAAGCCCAAACCCGGATATTTGACATGAAGAAGGAGTGCTTCGTACCCGACCCCGAGGTCGAGTACGTCAAGGCATCCGTAACTAGTCGTGATGGTGACAAAGTCACCGTTAACACTGAGTTTGGAAAGGTATGAACACGTTCATGCACATGGTCTGCTCAGTACCATTTATAAAAAGTCTTGAGCTCGATTGAAGAACGCTTTCTTTCCGTCTACAGACCGTCACCGTGAAGGAGTGTGATGTTCACCCTCAGAACCCGCCAAAGTTTGATAAAATTGAGGACATGGCGATGTTCACCTTCCTCCACGAGCCCGCTGTGCTGTTTAACCTCAAAGAGCGTTACGCAGCCTGGATGATCTACGTGAGACAGCTTTTTAACCTTTACATTTTCTTGTTAATAAGACTCCTCAACGTCTGAAGCAACTGTCCTCCATCCCTCTCTTTACATGGTAGACCTACTCGGGGCTCTTCTGTGTGACTATCAACCCCTACAAGTCGCTGCCGGTCTACAACCAGGAGGTGGTCGTTGCCTACAGAGGAAAGAAGAGGAGTGAAGCTCCTCCTCATATCTTCTCCATCTCTGACAATGCCTATCAGTACATGCTGTCAGGTAATTAATCTACTTTCACATTCATGATGTCCAAATATTCAACTATGAGGTCATTTCACCTTTAACACTGAAAATGTGTCAAATCTCTCCCGCTCACAGATAGAGAAAACCAGTCAATCCTCATCACGTAAGTAAGCCAGCCATTAAACCTCTTCATTTGATCTCAAAGGCTCTACCTTCAACTTCCTGTCTCTGTTTTCTCAGCGGAGAATCTGGCGCTGGAAAGACTGTCAACACCAAGCGTGTCATTCAGTACTTTGCCAGCATCGCTGCTGCCCCAGGTTTGAAGAAAGATCAAGCTGCTGAGAAGAAGGTGTGTGTTGTCATCATTTGTTAAAACTGGAAAACCACTTAATGAATTTATGTAAAGGCTTTTTCTTGTTAGTATTTTAAGGAAACCTGAAGTTGTGTCTTTAATGAACAAAATCAGGGAACCCTGGAGGATCAAATCATCCAGGCTAATCCTGCTCTGGAGGCCTTTGGGAACGCCAAGACCATCAGGAACGACAACTCCTCTAGATTTGTGAGTACTGCATCATTGAGGCAGCCTGATCATCAATAATAGTGGAATAATTACTCTTTCTCATAAGTGAACCTTTTGCTTTATTCTTAGGGTAAATTCATCAGAATTCATTTTGACAACCGAGGAAAACTGGCCTCTGCTGATATTGAAACTTGTAAGTAAATGCTTATGAAACAGATTTGAAGGCATCCTAGATCAAATGATCAGAAAAAAAAAAATAAACCTGTTGTCTCCCAGACCTTCTGGAAAAGTCTCGTGTGACCTATCAGCTCAAAGCTGAGAGGGACTACCACATTTTCTACCAGATCTTGTCTCAGCAAAAGCCTGAGCTTCTGGGTAAGAGTACACAATACGCTGCATAATATATCCCTAATGTATTGTATCATGAAATTAACATTTTCTATTTTCCAATCATCATTTCAGAGATGCTGCTCATCACCAACAACCCTTATGACTACGCCTTCATCTCCCAAGGAGAGACAACTGTGGCCTCCATCAATGATTCTGAGGAGCTGATGGCCACTGATGTGAGTTTTTTTCAGTCAGAATCACTTAGAGTTATTAAGGAACAGACAGTAATAATTTATTTGATTCTCTTCAGGATGCCTTTGACGTGCTGGGCTTCACTCAAGAAGAGAAGAACAGCATTTACAAGCTGACTGGAGCCATCATGCACCACGGCAACATGAAGTTCAAGAACAAGCAGAGAGAGGAGCAGGCTGAGGCTGACGGCACTGAAGGTGAGATGCTGAGTGTGGTCTTTTTTTTTAGATGAGTTGTACTTTTATCACAATTATTATTGTTGGTGGTTTTTGCACAGCTTATCTGACTTGGGTGTATCATCTCCTTAACAGATGTGGACAAAGTTGCTTATCTTATGGGCCTGAACTCTGCTGACCTCATCAAAGGTCTCTGTCACCCACGAGTCAAAGTAGGAAATGAGTGGGTCACCAAGGGACAAAGTGTCGCTCAGGTAATGACCCGAAATAAACATTTAGAGGTTAGTCTTAATTCTACAAGTAGTGCTGAAGTTGTTTCTTTTCCTCCCAAGGTGAACTATTCTATCGGTGCACTGGCTAAGTCAGTGTATGAGAAGATGTTTCTCTGGATGGTCATAAGGATCAACCATTCCCTGGACACCAAGCAGCCCCGCCAGTACTTCATTGGTGTTCTGGACATTGCTGGATTTGAGATCTTTGATGTGAGTCTGGATTGGAAATCTCACAAACATAGATAATATTTCTGGTCAGTATTTGTATGCCGGAGTTAATTTCTGACGACTTTGGATGTTTTAACAGTTCAACACCTTCGAGCAGATGTGCATCAACTTCACCAATGAAAAATTGCAACAGTTTTTCAACCACCACATGTTTGTGCTGGAGCAGGAAGAGTACAAGAAAGAGGGCATTGAATGGGAGTTCATTGACTTTGGTATGGACCTGCAGGCCTGTATCGACCTGATTGAAAAGGTGAGCTTTTCAGGTCAACAGTATGTTTTACCCAGAAACCTGAAATGTACTCACTGTGCTTTTTCACCAATGATGAGAAATGTATCTTTATTTTCTAATTACATTCCCTCAGCCCATGGGTATCATGTCCATCCTTGAAGAGGAGTGCATGTTCCCCAAAGCCTCAGACACAACCTTTAAAGCTAAGCTCTACGACAACCATCTGGGGAAATCCAACAACTTCCAGAAGCCCAGAGTTGTTAAAGGAAGACCAGAGGCCCATTTCTCCCTGGTTCACTACGCTGGAACCGTTGATTATAACATCAACAACTGGCTGGTTAAGAACAAAGATCCCCTGAATGAAACGGTGGTCGGTCTTTTCCAAAAATCAAACCTCAAGCTTTTAGCTTTGCTCTTTGCTGGATATGCAGGATCTGATTCTGGTATGTTGACACTAAGACTAACAACTAAAGAACGACAACACCTTAGTTAACATATTGATGATACCTGGTTGTATTAATGTAAAGTTTTTGAACCATTTCCTGTTGACTTTCTTATTTTGTTGTATTTGTTATTTAGCGCCGGAGTCTGGTGGAAAAGGGAAAGGTGGTAGCAAAAAGAAGGGTTCCTCATTCCAAACTGTATCGGCTTTGCACAGGGTAGGATATACGAGTCTTATTCATAAACATGTTTCAAATGATGTAGTCTAACATAGCCGTAGCCATTATCACATATGTACTCCTGAAAATGTCAAGAAAATGTCAGACAGGCTCCCTCTGAAATCTTACCTTAGACTATTCCTGCATAGGACACTATCTCTGTCAGATGGACCCAGAAATTACTTGAAAATAAAGTCTGAAGATATGATGAGAATTTTGAAATAAATATCAATGGTCTTTGTGTTCGTCATGTTCACAGTGTCAAGAAAAGAGAGGAGAAGAACAGACTATCAAACAGAAAACCTGATGCAGCAGTTTCATTATGTGCACAGAGATCACAGGTTGCAAGTTATACATCACCATTCCCAGTGAATTTTACAGGATATTTCCTGCTTCTTTCTCACAACGACTCACCCTGACTTCATGCAGAAAATCAATTAGGGCAGTCCATTTGACTGGCAGGAAAAACCTTTTTGCATAAGTGAACAGGGATAATGTCTACTTAACAATATTAACGTGTTTTAAAGAAAGTAAATGCAAATCTATTACTTGTAGGAGAACCTGAACAAGCTGATGACCAACCTGCGGTCCACTCACCCTCACTTTGTGCGTTGCATCATCCCCAATGAGACCAAGACTCCTGGGGCCATGGAGAACCCTCTGGTGATGCACCAGCTGCGCTGTAACGGTGTGCTAGAGGGCATCAGGATCTGCAGGAAGGGCTTCCCCAACAGGATCCTCTATGGAGATTTCAAACAGAGGTTTGCTAGTGACAATCAAACACACACGTTTCAATTTAAAAATGAACAGACACAGAATAGTTGCAGTGACTTCAGGGATATGCACTGACTTTCTATCTTTTGGATCTTTGTCAAAAGGTACCGTATTTTAAACCCCAATGCCATTCCTGAGGGGCAGTTCATTGACAACAAGAAAGCTGCTGAGAAACTGTTGGGTTCTCTGGATATTGACCACAACCAGTACAGACTGGGGCACACCAAGGTCAGTGTTTAAAATGTTGATAAGGGGTGATTCATTTTGCATAAAGATTTGTAATTACTGACCATCAAATCTACCAATACTAAACAGGTGTTCTTCAAAGCTGGACTGCTGGGTCTGCTGGAGGAGATGCGAGATGACCGACTAGCACTAATTATCACCGGCATCCAGTCTCGGTCACGAGGTCTTCTGGCAAGAATTGAATTCCAGAAGATTGTTGAACGCAGGTACTTGCTTCTGAAACAGTCAAATTATGTAAATCAGGTCAAGCCAAGTCAAAGCGTTTTTTCTTTATTTATCTCCATGACAACAAAGATCAGTAAAATCATAGCTTTCAGGGGTGGAAACGGATTTAGAGGATATTAAAAAACAAAATCTTTCTTGACAGTTTTCCTTTCTGGAGCGAGCTGTCATACAAGTGTTATCTGTTGTCTGCAGGGATGCACTACTCGTGCTCCAGTGGAACATCCGGGCCTTCATGGGGGTCAAGAATTGGCCCTGGATGAAGCTGTTCTTCAAGATCAAACCTCTGTTGAAGTCAGCAGAGACTGAGAAAGAGATGGCCAACATGAAGGAAGAATTCCTGAAACTGAAAGAGGCTTTCGCAAAATCTGAAGCCCGCAGGAAGGAACTAGAGGAGAAAATGGTCTCTCTTCTCCAAGAGAAGAATGACCTGCAGCTCCAAGTTCAATCTGTATGTTTATAATCAGTCAGCATTTCACATGAAATACGAATCAAACTGTTGTGTAACCGTTTGCCTCATCCTTCAATAGGAGCAAGATAATCTTGGTGATGCTGAAGAAAGATGTGAGGGGCTGATCAAAAATAAAATTCAACTTGAGGCAAAAGCCAAAGAGCTGACAGAGAGGCTGGAGGATGAGGAGGAGATGAACGCTGAACTTACAGCTAAGAAGAGGAAGCTGGAGGATGAGTGTTCAGAGTTAAAGAAGGACATTGATGACTTGGAGTTAACTCTGGCCAAAGTGGAGAAAGAGAAGCATGCCACTGAGAACAAGGTACCATAAACTCTTATTACGTTGGAATAACTTTGTGAGTTCCAAATAATATTGAAACTGAAGTCCTTGATCATATTGTCCATTGGCCATAGGTAAAAAACCTGGTCGAGGAGATGGCAGCTCTGGATGAAATCATTGCTAAGCTGACCAAAGAAAAGAAAGCATTACAGGAAGCTCACCAGCAAACACTGGATGACCTGCAGAGTGAAGAAGACAAAGTCAACACTCTAACCAAGGCCAAGGCTAAGCTGGAGCAGCAAGTAGATGATGTAAGAAATCCCAGCTTCAGTTGGATTTGGCTATGACAAAACATTAGTAGACAAAGCCTTGACATTTTTACATCCCACAGCTTGAAGGTTCCCTAGAACAAGAGAAGAAAGTGCGAATGGACCTTGAGAGAGCCAAGAGGAAGCTTGAGGGGGACCTGAAGTTAGCTCAGGAGACTATAATGGACCTGGAAAATGACAAGCAGCAACTTGAAGAGAGGCTGAAAAAGTAAGAGTGAAAGAAAGCAGCCTCTAAAAAAAGCTAAGTATTTTTTAAACTGTTTAAGTCAACTGATCAATATCAATTTTTTTCCCTCAGGAAAGATTTTGAAGTCAGCCAACTCCTTGCCAAAATTGAGGACGAACAAATAATAAGTGCACAGCTCCAGAAAAAAATAAAGGAGTTGCAGGTAATAATGTAAAAAAGTGCATGAATATGTAATTTTATGACCACATTGTGCATCTTTGAAATTTGCACAAAGCTTTCCATTGATGATCCTTCTAGGCCCGCATTGAGGAGCTGGAGGAAGAGCTGGAGGCAGAGCGAGCTGCCCGAGCTAAGGTGGAGAAGCAAAGAGCAGACTTGGCCAGAGAGCTGGAGGAGATCAGTGAGAGGCTGGAAGAGGCTGGTGGAGCAACATCTGCCCAGATTGAGATGAACAAAAAGAGGGAGGCAGAGTTCCTAAAGCTCCGCAGAGACCTTGAAGAGGCCACTCTGCAGCACGAAGCCACTGCTGCCACTCTCAGGAAGAAACAGGCCGACAGTGTAGCTGACCTCGGAGAGCAGATTGACAACCTACAGAGAGTCAAACAGAAACTGGAGAAGGAGAAGAGTGAGCTCAGGCTGGAGCTGGATGATGTGGTCTCCAATATGGAACATATTGTCAAGTCTAAGGTCATCTATCTATAAGTGTTGTATGTTATTATATTCATTGTTAAATTAGTACTAAGTTGTTCATGTGCCTTTTTATTTCAGACTCATTTGGAAAAAATGTGCAGGTCTCTGGAAGATCAGATGAATGAATATAAAACAAAGGCCGAGGAGGGGCAGCGTGTCATCAACGACTTCACCATGCAGAAAGCAAAGCTTCAAACTGAGAATGGTATGCCTCATGATTTAATTACATTGTTCAGGGATATCAAAAAGTGCTCATATTATACATTTACAACACTTAGGTGAATTTACAAGGCAGATTGAGGAAAAGGACTCCCTGGTGTCTCAACTCACCAGAGGAAAACAGTCCTATACTCAACAAGTTGAAGACCTTAAAAGACAACTGGAGGAGGAAGTGAAGGTAGCAAACAAATGGTACCTCAATTTATTCAACTGAAACGTTGGACCATGAGAAGCATTAAGATGTGTTTTACATTTCAGGCCAAGAATGCACTGGCCCATGCAGTGCAGTCTGCTCGTCATGACTGTGACCTGCTCAGAGAGCAGTATGAAGAAGAGCAGGAGGCCAAGGCTGAACTGCAGCGCGGCATGTCCAAGGCCAACTCTGAAGTGGCTCAGTGGCGAACTAAGTATGAAACTGATGCCATCCAGAGAACTGAGGAACTGGAGGAAGCAAAGTGGGTAAAATATATGGACTTGAACATCGACACAGATTCTTAAACAAAGAATCCTGACTAAATTTGATCCTAATCCAGGAAGAAGCTGGCAGCGCGTCTTCAGGACGCCGAGGAGGCTGTGGAAGCAGTGAATGCTAAATGTTCCTCTCTGGAGAAGACCAAACACAGACTGCAGAATGAGATTGAAGATCTCATGGTGGACGTGGAGAGGTCGAATGCTGCTGCTGCTGCTTTGGACAAGAAGCAAAGAAACTTTGACAAGGTTTTAATTAAAATATTCTAGTTTCACTTTTTCAAAAACTATAATTATAATGGGTCGGTTGTCTTTCAACCAGAAGGTCAGGGGTCAGAAGACTAGAGAAGTGCTACACAAGCTCAAGTCCATTCACCCTTCAATGAACCTTAAATATGCACATTTCAGGTCTTGGCAGAATGGAAGCAGAAATATGAGGAGTCACAAACAGAGCTGGAGAGCTCTCAGAAGGAGGCCAGGTCTCTGAGCACTGAGCTCTTCAAACTGAAGAACTCCTTTGAAGAATCTCTGGAACAGCTTGAGACCATGAAGAGAGAGAATAAGAATCTTCAGGGTAAGGGTCACCCCATGGTCACCCCCTTTTTACATCTCAGAACCCATTGGAAATCATCCTATGACTGACGATATGTGGGAGCAGATACAAATTTTTCAGTGATTCAGATGAAGCAAGCAGTTAGCGTTAAACTACTGCCAACATTTATGTCTGCAACATAAACGCCGCCATTTGTAGGTTCATAATATCCTGGTGTTATGCTTGTGCATCTGTAGAGCCTCAGTTCAACCTAACCCTAACCCTAGACTTAAGATACACAGCAGCTTCACTTAAGCCATATGAGACCAAAAAAGAAACTGATTTTCTAGTGATGTTCTTGCAAATAACAAAAATTACATTTGCTGAAATAACATCATGGTGCAGATATTTGAAAAGTCAAGCTTTGTCAGGTTTGTCTTCAAGAGGAGAAGACAACAATTGTTAAAATCTTTTTTGAATTGAGATTGGAGTGTCAGACAGATTTGTGGCCCAATGTATAATCGTTGATCTGCAATTGCTTGTCAGCTGGACTTTGTTGCAGTGAAATGTTTAAAGAGACATAAAGTACAGGTCTATGTTAGAATGGCCCTGATGGGAGCATGCATTTTCAAACTTGTTGATATGTAATTGGTCAGTGGGTTAGGGTTAAGGTTAGCCAATAAAGCTCAGACTTCAAATACACTACGAACGTAAACAAGAAAACTTTACAGACTAAAAATCCAAACCACCATGTCCTAATTCTGTAAATAGAGATTATCCAATTTTAAGCTTCTTCTGTAGATATGTTCAAATGAAAATGTCATTGAACTTGTGACCCTTTTTTTTCCTCAGAGGAAATAGCCGACCTCACTGAACAAATCGGTGAGGGAGGAAAGAATATTCATGAGCTTGAGAAGATTCGAAAACAACTGGAACAAGAGAAGTCTGAGATACAAACAGCGCTCGAGGAAGCTGAGGTATGCTCAATGTTCTCAAGGTGGACTTTAGGAACTCCAACATACTTCAGTATTTTTTATATCTAGTCCCTCTCTCTGTTTTAATCTTCTTTCTTGATAGGCCTCATTGGAACACGAGGAAGGAAAGATTCTCAGAGCTCAGCTAGAGTTCAACCAGATCAAGGCGGATATCGAGCGCAAGCTGGTTGAGAAAGATGAAGAGGTGGAGCAGACAAAGAGAAACCAACAGCGCATTGTGGATACTCTTCAGAGCTCACTGGATGCTGAGACTCGCAGCAGGAACGAGGCCCTCCGTTTGAAGAAGAAGATGGAGGGAGACCTCAATGAGATGGAGATCCAGCTTAGCCAGGCCAACAGGCAGGCGGCTGAGGCCCAGAAACAACTGAAGGCTATTCATGCACATCTGAAGGTAAGCACTATATTCATAAAGAGAAATTAAAAACTGTATATGACCTGAAGTAACTGGCTTAAAAAAAACAACGTACACTTATCCAGGATGCTCAGCTCCAGCTTGACGAGTCTCTGCGATCAAATGATGATCTTAAAGAGAACATTGCTATCGTTGAGAGGCGCAACAACCTGCTGCAGGCTGAAGTGGAAGAACTGAGGGCTGCTCTGGAGCAAACTGAGAGAGGACGCAAACTTGCTGAACAAGAGCTGCTGGATGTTAGTGAGAGAGTGCAGCTACTGCACTCACAGGTGAGATACAGTCACTGCACCCAGCACTATTCTTTCTTATTGACAATTTATCGAGGAGTTCTATAATCAAATTTGTATGCAACCAGAACACCAGTCTTCTAAACCAGAAGAAGAAGCTGGAGGCGGACACATCCCAGCTTCAAACTGAAGTGGAGGATTCAGTTCAGGAGTGCAGGAATGCTGAGGAAAAGGCCAAGAAGGCCATTACTGATGCTGCCATGATGGCGGAGGAGCTGAAGAAAGAACAGGATACCAGCGCCCACCTGGAGCGTATGAAGAAGAACATGGAGCAGACCATCAAAGACCTGCAGCACCGTCTGGATGAAGCTGAACAGATTGCCTTGAAGGGAGGGAAGAAGCAGCTGCAGAAGCTGGAGGCCAGGGTGAGTACCATCATTTTCTAAGAAATAAAAAGTATCATTCTTTAACATCGATAAATCCTCAAGATCTGTTTATATTCAAGAGATTGAGTGTTTGCTCTGACCTTTCCTCCACAGATCAGAGAGCTAGAAAGTGAGTTAGAGGCCGAGCAGAGAAAGTCAAGCGATTCTGTCAAAGGAATACGAAAGTATGAGAGAAGAATCAAAGAGTTGACCTATCAGGCACGTTTGACTCGTTTTTGTTCCTTACTAAATGTCATGTCTGTTTGTTCACTTCTTTTTACGTCCAAGTGTTCATGCTTTCGTTCTTCTTGTTTGCTTACAGACAGAAGAGGATCGTAAGAATCTGGCCCGTTTGCAGGATCTGGTAGACAAACTGCAGCTGAAGGTCAAATCCTACAAGAAGTCTGCAGAGGACGCTGTAAGAAGTCTTACTGTTTTTGAAAACCTTCATAGAGAATCAAATTATAAAACCTCCTGTGCATATTAAATAGCATGGCTCATTTAAACTTACAGTTAAAGTTGACATGATAATAATAAAGAAGTGATGTCAGGCCCTTTTGGATGTTCCCAAACCAAGCAGCACTTTGGTTCAGAATACTGTTCCTTTAGGCTTCTTTGGACTGGGAAAATCAAATGACAATTGAAGGTCATTTTGGGGGGAAATGGTCATAACAGTAATTTTATTCTGTCCGGGCAGCATCGATTTAATGGACCAAATAAAAAAATCTTTCATTCATTAAAACATCCCTTCCAGATGATTGAATTGTTTCCGTTCAACAGGAGGAACAGGCCAACACCAATCTGACAAAGTTCCGTAAGCTTCAACACGAGCTGGATGAAGCTGACGAGAGAGCCGACATCGCCGAGTCTCAGGTCAACAAGCTACGTGCCAAGAGCCGTGATGTGGGGTCAAAGGTCAGTCAGGGATATATTTTTGTGCGGGGAACACTGAATGGGCATATTTAGAGCTCACATAAGCTTCTCAAAGAGACGGTGTTAATGTTGATGTTTCCTGAGTAGATAAAGTTAAACTGTGATAAAAATATTCATTATTTTGTTTTGTTCCATAAGAAAAGTATTATAACCAAGAACACTTGTGTTTAAGCCACTCAGGGAGACTGCTATTGGTCAGTTTCTGACTAATGTGTAGGTCAATGAATGATTTAAAGGAACTGATTGAAACTTGCGTAAATGCACAAATGCATAAAAAACCTTTAAAAATATCAAAGAATTGTTTTTCATGTTTCTTGTTCTTCTCTCTTTTCAGAAAGGACATGTTGAGGAATGAAAGTCATGGAATCGAAGAGGTTTCTGAGGCACCTGATGTCTCAAGTGTCTCCCTAAGCATGTTGTTTATTGAGTAGAATAAAGTCAAGCTGCATCTCAAACAGTGTCGTGGAGTTTTGTTGGCCTTCACCCTATGGGGCGACCCCGTATATTCAAATATTTGATGATTCCTTCGATCGAGCCTCAGTCGACTGCCAGCCTCATAGTCGAGCACAAAGATCAATCCATTCCAGCTTCCTAGTTTAATTTTACATAGACTTGTCTGTTTTCTTTAAATAATGCATGCCTCACAGCCTGTAGAGTTAAATGATAACATTACAATAGCTTAGAATGGCACACATTTTAACAACTATGCATCTTGTGATTTTTTTGTCCAATTACACCATCAATACAGCATGTTTGGAAAATGCTGTATTCTTAAGCTACTGTAAGGAACGATTCGTTTGCATCCATTTATGCCTGGATGGGCAAAGTGTTCTCACTTATCTCTTTGCTGATCTGGTCCTACTTGTGGGACTAACTCACTTAAATTCACAACTTAAAGGTCACTTATTACGCAAAATACACTTCACCATACACTAATATGTGTCTCTAGTCTGTCTACAAACCCCCCAATGATGAGAAAAGTCCATCCTCTCTGTCTTCTGCCTGCTCCACTTTTCAGAAAATGTCTGCTCAAACAGGCCGTTTGGAGATTATCCCTTTGTGACATCACAAAGGGCAGTAACCCCTCCCCCAGGTGGGTGACACTCTCAAAGCTAGGTGTTAGTTCTGCCCTCTGAGTCTGCCTTCTCACTGTAAACAATAGGACATGGAGAGAGAAAGCCAGAGACACCCAAGTCCTTCCAGAGAGGGGGCGTGGTCATACACAGCTCATTTACATATTTAAAGGTACAGACACAGAAACAGCCTGTTCTGAGCAGGGCTGAAAAAGAGGGGTTTATAGACATGATCAAATACAGGATCAGAGTGGATTTAGAACAAGAAACTTCACACACATGTTTTGGGGAGCTCTGAGACTTATTTAAACTAATTGAAGAGGAGGAGGATATGTGACCTTTAAAGGTCCCATATTATGCTTTTTCTGGTTTTATATGCCCTTTAGTGTGTTTTCCAAGTGTCCTGTGCATGTTTAGGCACATCTACGTGCAAAAATTCAAAGTACGCAGAAACGTGGCTTTGCCTACGTCCTCCTGTTAGCTGTAGTATTAGCCGCATGTAACGCTCGGTTCTAGTCCCCCTCGATAAAAATGTGTCAGTCAGACGTCATTGTCAGTGTGAGATCACTGATCTAAGCCCATTGGCTCGTTGTGGCAAGCCCAGCAGCTCATGTTGAAATTTCCGAGAAGCGTGCTGAGCAACTGACCAATAACGACAGAGCGGATTGGCAGACCAATCAGAGCAGACTTGGCCCACGTGGGGTCTAACAGTGGGGGCTCAACAGAGTGCAGCTGACGGACTCAGAGCGTAGAGGGAGCAAGGAGGAGCAGTACATGAAAACAGACACTTTTTTCAGACTTTAGCTACTTTAGCTAAGGGCATAATATGGGCTCTTTAATAGAAATAATCAATCTTATCGCTGATGTCTAGTTTGCTTTTGTAGAGCATTACAACCATTGTGTTTCACGTCTCTAAGAAGTCTTAAAGAAACAGTGTCTCTATTTTTGTCATGAACCTCTAACTACACACCCAGTATCACTGATGTGGTCATGAGTCTGCACTGTGGTGTCACAGTGTTGAGACACACCCCAGTAAACCTTTTCACATTCTAGTCAGTGGCTAGGTAATTCCTCTGAGTGGCTTTAGCTGCATGTTGTTACAAGACGACGTGATTAAATGTATCTTCATATGCTGACTGTGAAAGTAAAAGGGATCTGACAGTCCAAAAACATTATTTTAAATATCACCATTATTTTTCGGTAAACGTCCACCACATAACTCTATCTCAGCATTTGGCTTAACAAAGATATGTTTTATGATGACTGACCCGTTATGGACTTCTTAAATTTACTTTAAAAAGACATTATTTGACATATATAAAGCAGAACTTGTCTCATAATCTTACCTGTTCAAAAAAAAGGTTCTTATTTCAAGAAACTCTGCAAGTACATTTTGCTTACTGCATTGGTATCCAGTTTTACTTATTGCAATTAATCCATGGCTTTTTTTTTGCTTGTAATTTCTTGAAATAAGATGTTTATCTGCACTTGTCAGGTGAATGTGGCTTATTAAGTGTAATTAGATATTTAAACCACCACACTATTGTCTTATATAGTCTCATACATATTAGACTTTGCTTATGTTGTTTTTATTGTTCATATTTAATGTTGTACATTTTGTACATTAAATATGAACAGATCATCAAAGTCATATTCCTCATGTGTGTGTGCGAGCATACCTGGCCAATAAAACTGCTTCTGATTCTGATACCTTCGGCAAAGGAATGTTACAAACACACTAGTTAAGATTTACCATTTTTCGCAGTGTGCACTGATGCTGCTTTAAAGAACATTTAAATTTGTCTTTGAATTAATTTGATGAGTATTGTCCAGTACAAAAGGAAAACATAAAACAACAACAAAAAGGTCTCTCACAACAACAACAACAACAACAACAACAACAACAACTGGGGCCTTGCTCATCTGGTCTAAGAGTGGCACTGCAAATCTTTCAACTGTATATTTCTTTATCAGGAACCAACAAAACATGGGCAGCACTGCACAAAACATCACTGAAATTACACTTTTTAAATAAAATACCCCTCAAAATTAACGTGAACTTGATATTATCAAGCAAAGTTTATTGAAATATAACACAATCCAAAGCCCTACCTTTTGCCCCTTTTTTCTGGCTGATGTGTAAAGTGTGTCCCGCATCAACAGAAGAGCCTGCTGGTGTATAGGTCTCATGTCTTCCCCCCCTCTGAGTGCAAACGCACCGACCACTAACTTCCCTGTCTGAATGGAGACCAGGAGAAAGGGCAAGACAAAGAGAAGGACACATGAAGGCATGATCTGATTCTTAACACCTCCTCAAGTGACCTTCAGTAAATAACAAGCATTCTAACAATAGCGACTTCATGTGGAACCACAGCCGTCTCCGATTTCAAACTTAAGAGGGACAAGGTGGCACACCTTCCCATGTGATGCAGAAGTCCCAGATACAAGGACTAATGGACAGCTGAGAATGGGACCTTTGACTGAGGGCTGATTGCTCCACTAATGCTTCGAATAGATGAGAGCTAAGAAAAGGAGATCAGAGTTCTCTGCTGTGAAGACAAACACATCGTCAGCATTGGTTAGTGTGTGTTGGCTGTATGAAGGACAGACTGAAGGCCTTCCTGCTGTTATCTAAGCCAAGCAAAGGATTACTGATAAGACAATGGTACATCCAGACCTACATAATACTTTAATGTTCATTGATGTCCTTGTTTCCTCCGTGTCTGTTTCAGTTCAATGATTATCTACTTAAAATCTTTGCTAGAGATTCATTTCTTTGAAGTAAGTACTATACCTCAGTAAAGTGGAGGAAAAGAGAAATCATTGGTATGAATGATTCAGGTCCAGGCACTCAGGAGGGTTTGAAAAATATAAAAGGCCTTAAATTAAATGTGCTAAAAGACATTTACAACGCGTGTCGGATTGAGCCTTCCTCAGGGTGTAATCACTTTCAATGTAAATTATAAGTAAGTATAAGTTTTCCTGCACTTTTTTATTTATTTATAGTATTCCCTTCCACGAGCACAGGTGGTTTGGGAATGAAGGCTCGGTGATATTTTAAATATACATATAAAATGTTAATATTTGAAGAACAACTCTTTAGTTTCAAGTATAGAAGGGCAGATGTTTATGTTCTGTTTATTCAATGGACATTCATTTCAACATTAGGCCTTTAATAACTTTATTAGTGTGTCCATCTCTCCTTTTTAAGACTATGATATGCCGTTTAGGAAATTAAAATATATATACAACAACCATGATGTCTGAATATATTGAATGAAACTTTTAATATACTGAATGGACGCTGATTTCAATTCTCTCTATCCACCAATTTCATTGTTGTCATCAAAAAGTTACCCTGCTGAATATGCTCGTTTTACAAAATGACATCAGCTGAAATATACCAACCAAGGCAATCAAAGCAGTTGCTCTCAACAATGTGGTACCGTTGTAAGCCTGTGATGTTACTGTATCTGTATACAATAAATGCAGGGTTGGTAATTTTTTAAGATTTTGGTTGAAATTGTCTTTAGGTCCTGACAGAAAGTAATAACTCATGTTCTCTGAAAAAGGAACAAAGAAAATCCATCATCTGTATCAATTTGTAAGTCTGTAAAAACTTTGACCAATGTCTGCCATGAGGTACCAATCTGATGAACCAATCACACACCTCCCTGTCTCCCTGCTCGTTCTCTACCACATGTGTGCATGAGCCCACACTCAAAGCGATGACTGAGTTTATACTGAGTTTGTTGATGGCCGTTGTGAGAAGTAAAATAGTCTGTTTTTTTTTACATGTATTATGATAAAGTTGAGTGTTTACTCACCGCTGAATGAGACATGAGACGACGTAATTTCTACACAATGCAAGAGATGAGCTGAGGTCCACTTCTGGAACTACGGTGCTCGCTCATGTAAGTGAGGGGGCGTGGCTTTAGAGGGAGCACAGAGGGGAGGGGGTGGGTACAGATGGAGCACTGAGGGAATGCTACTTTCAAAATCATGCTAGTTTTCAAAAATTACCAACCCTGCCTTTAATGTATAGGCTACTAAATGTTGATAGGACAGCTGACAGCTTTTCCTGATTTCGGTTGACTTGGTTGGAGTCAGAGATGACTCAGTAACGCAGAACATCTGAGCAGGCTGGTTTCAGGAGGCTACGAAGCAGATCCACCTGCACACTCTGCTCACTCTCTTCCCTGCCTGCAGACCGCCTTTAACATGTGTTTGTATATTGTGTTCTCACTCAACACTGCACATTGACTAGCTCACACACTTAATGTCTTGCACTTTAACAACTTAATTTTAATATATTATGTATTTCTATGTGTGCACTTCCTCTTTAGCCATGTACTGCTGAGCTAGGTTGTGACAAGCT